AGTTGTTTTTCCCCTGATTTTGTACTTCGTGTATCTGGGATTTTGTGTTTTAAGAATTTTTTTCTCTGTCTCTTTTTTTTTTCAATTGGGCATCTTGAACCTCCCTGACTGGGTATCTTGAATTTGTGTATTGGGTATTCTTGTTTGGTTGTCAATTGCTGTGGATTTTGCTTCCTTCTTCAAGAAGTCCCCTGAAACCTTTGTTCTTCCGCTTTAATTTCTCTGAAGTCACCCCTCTCATAGAACCCTAGTTTTTCTCTTCTTAATTCCGTTTCTTGTTGTTTGAATTTTCTCTCTCTTCTTTTTTCTTTTTCAGATCCTGTGCCTCCATCTCCCTCCTCGACCACTTCCTCTGACTCAGTCCAGATACTACCTTCTGCTCTTAAGGCCGTTCCTCTATCGATTCTTCACCCCGGTGATACTGTCCCTACCCGTGTCTTCGTAGCTCGTGTTGCTTCTTCCAACTCCGGCGACACTATAGATAATATCCCTCTCCGCCGTCGTCTACCTGCCTTTGGTTCAATGGATGAGCCAGAGGTAGACGAAGCTATTTCTTCTCAGCCCACTTTTCCCGCATCTTCGACCGTTCCTCCTTCTTCGAATTCTCCGCCCAAGCGGTCCTCGACCAAGAAACCTTCCAAACGACCATCTTCTACCTCTCTCTGTCACCCCTGGTTTGATCCCGAGAAAATCGGCCAACCTCTTGGTTGGGCGTTCATTAGATCTTCCCCCTCCGACCGGTATGATCATCCTCCGCAAGACTGTTACCCTTTCTTCGAGGTCCAGTTTAAGCTCGAGTTACGCTTTCCTTTGAACCGTGATATAATCCGCATCTGCGAGTGGTTCTCGCTTCCCTTGCATCAACTTCCTCCTAACGCCATCCGTTTCATCACCACTTTCATCATCCTTTGTCACATCCGTCTAGGTCGATTCGACCTAGACTTCTTCCATTATTGTTACTGCCCCTCTAAACTGGGCCGGGGTCTTTACTTGAAAAGCCGCAATGGTGCGCACTTCATCAATGACATCCCATCCAACCTTCCCCAGTAGAGCGATAAGTTCATCTTCGTTCGACCTGACGTCCCTTTACCTTGGCCTTCCATCCCTTGGGTCAAGGATGTTTCGAAAGAGGCAGCCTCGGCCCCTCCAGCAAACCTCCTCTTCGACCAACGGATCCATACTTGGAATTCCAAGACCGTTGCGTCTGAAAAACTTCTCAAGGACGAGAATCTTCTCCATTTTTGTGGTCTTCTAACCCACAAAACCCTTTCTCCCCCTACCGAGGAGATTCTCGATCTTGTTCGCCTTGAGGATGACCCAGGTAGTTCCCAATCAGTTCATTTTGAATGTTGTCATATATTTGTTATTCTTGTTGAAGTAAGTGCTAA